GTATTTCCCCATTATGGGACAATAAAAGGGATTTACATTTACTTACTGACATTCCAACAGTTAGTTGCAAAGTAAATCGTCTTCTATTTAGACTTTGTTTTATTTTCTTACTATACTTACTATACTATGTCATGTCATATAGCTTAAAAATCAGACAGATGTTAGTAATTAAATCTAACATTTAGGTGGCTGAAAGACAAAGTAACATAAAGTAAATTCTTATTTTAGCCATATTGTAATTCATTATATATTAGTTTTCAGTGCATAGTAACTTCAAAAACATAAATCTACTGAATGTATGTTCTTTTATTCTCTGTCTTTTACAGCCAAGTAGTGAGGAAGTCCCATTGAGGGAATTTCGGATCCCTTCTAAGGAAAGCTGCATGCAATCTGAGACTGAGGCTTTAATTGAACAGGACTTAGATCCCCCCTCCCCTGCTGCCCAGTCCTTCACTAAACGGCGCTCCTTGCTACCAGAACGGCTGGACCCCAGCATCTCCTTCACAAGGGGGGCCTTACCTCGAAGCAGCTCAAATGAGAGCGTCCGTAGCCTGAGGCGGGCCTCATCGCTGGATGACATTGACGGCATGAGAGCAGAATGGAACAGTCGACCTGGGGATACCCGAACTCACAGCAGTGAGTATCTGAAGGGAGCCTCCAGACCTTTTACTCCATTAAGAAACATTAATTGAAATCATTCCTCATATTTGCTTTCCTTAAACATACTAATGACCTTAAGTTATATTGGGTATTTATTAAATCAACATGGTTTTATCTACTCACTAGTAAAAGAGTGCCCTGAAAGTACTTTTTTTTACGTTAAAAATTAAAATTGACATTTTATGTAATTTTAGTCACTTCCATTTTAATGTGCCCAAGTGAAAACAAATAAAAATGACTTAACTAGTTCTAGTAAAGTGAGATTTATTGTATTAAATACTTTAGATTTACCAAAATGAACCTCTCTGAGGGCACAGAGGTCATTAATTTTTTGTCCAATGGAGACAAAAATCAATCCTTCTGTCTTAAGGAAAGCTCTATCTTCCTTTACAAATGTTAAAATTAGTCTGCAAATTTTTTTATTTTATTTCACATCACTTTTATCTGCGTTTGAAGCTGACAATATCATCTTATCTAAAAGCTTGCCCATTTTTACATTAAGCTCTTTTAAATGCAAATGTACTTTGATAGGAATCCAATAATTTCAAACTTGTCAAAAATGCAATTTCCATCTTTGTAATTCTATTTTTCTGCTCTTTGTTGAAATTCTTTGCAGATCTTAAGCCCAGTGCTTTGAACTCCACCTCAGACTCAGATCTCATAAGACATAGAACCATCGGGCGAATCCCACAGGTCGCCCTCACATTTGGCTCAGACCGACTGAGACCTCCCTCGCCTACAGAGATTGAAATCATTGCACCCAGCAAGGTTAAAGACCGAACCCAGAATGTCACTGAAAAGGTCACTCAGGTCACACAGGTGAGAGAGAACATCATTGATTTTCCAGCAAGTGTTTAGTGTTACAGATGGTTGGTGCTACGATGAAACCCACTATTATCAGACGGTCTTGTTTGACCATGTTCATATTAGGTACGATGCACATTATTCAGTTCTTAATACAATATATTGCCCACCTTCACATCAGATACAGCTTGAACTGATGTTTTTTTGTGTGTTGTTGTTGTGATCTATGCACTGGTTTTATCAGTGTCAGGTTGTGTGGCGGTTTCTAGAGCAAGAAGGAAGCTGTGGTGGTTTCTTGTAGATTTAATAAGCAAAGGTGGCAACTAGTGCAAAAGTCCACAAACAAAATACAGAAAACCAAAAACAAAGAGACATCAGGGAAAACATACATTAGGAGCAAAGAAACGAAGAGGAACAAGCAAAAAGAAACTGAAGAGGAGGAGTATATATGTCAAACAGAACAAAGACTGGAGTAATCAACTGATTGGGAGCAGGTGTGGACAGAAGAATCTAGAAGGGAGCTAAGGGGAAGGAGACTATCTCAAGAGGGCAACAGATGGTAAAAATACAAAAGAACTCAAAGACAAAAACCAAATCCAGAAAACAACACAATATGGAAATGAAACCAATAAACTATAAAACGCAGAAAAATGTGAATCAAAGTTTAACTGACAACTTTAAAAAGAAAACTTAAACAGAACCAAAAAGTGCTGAATCATGACAATCAGATGGTTAAACTGACCCTTTTCTTGAAAGAAAATGTCTTAAGATGTCTTTAAAGAAGTTCACATTTAAAGTTGTTCAATTTTATACAGTCAGTAGACTGAGAAGGGCACTTTAGAGCCTTCACTTTTTTCAGATTTGGCCGAAGACAGGTCAACTTAGGATTTTTTTTCCCTCATGTCATTAACGTCTAGGTACGTCTCAAATGTAATCTACTGGCTAATGAATAAAAACTTTCCATTCTTTTTTTTTATTTCTCAAGACCATGCAGCTCCTTCAGCATTGCATTTGTCAGTGGATGCTATTGTAGTTTTTCTTTGAGACAAGGTCTAATTGACCATGGCGTTGTTTCGAATTTACAGTTGTGATTTAGAATTTGAACATTGCAGTTAGCAGTTGAAGTCTAGATATGTTTTTTTAAACATTATAATTTTATTTTATTATTTTATAAAAATAATACTCTACTGCTGATCCTGACATAATTCTTTGATGAATGGCTTGGAGTCAAGCAACATCATTGAAGCACTGAATAAACATGAAATGGGTTGTTCAGAAACTCACTGACCTTTCACTTACCCAATCATATGTCAGCTTGTGTGTTTTTATGTTATACTGCCAACATTTCCAAGTTGTGCAAAACAATCATAGTCATTTAATTTTTTTCTACAATAAAAAGGGTAAACATTTGTACAGTTATTCAGTAAAAAACGGCTTCACCCAACCACTCATAATGTTTTATTTTTTTTAAAGATTTTATATTGTCATTAGTATGCCCATAAAAAGCCTCTCTGCAGGCCATCATAAGTCCTGCTCGGGTATATAAACATGAACACAAAGGTGTGTCTGATTCTCTGGTGCAGACAGCAAGAGTACTCTGATGCAGTACCAGCTCTCTGCAGATAATGACTGTTACAATTGTAATTTGTACACTTTATAAGCCACAGTAAAGGTGAAAATGTTGTGAAATGGTTTATATTGAGCTCAAGTCAGTTACATCACAATACAATGGTTTAAATTTAAAAACCACAGTTTTTCAGTTTATAAATGTCACAGTAATTAACATTTGGTAATTGAACAAGAAGCAGATACATTTTTTGTATTTAATCTACATCTTTGAAAGAATTATCTTTAGTTCTTTTTTTTATACTATGGAATATATAAGTTTCAGAGTACTTTTCAGCTGTGCAGCTGCATTTTCTTCCCTCTAATCTCAAACATCAAACTCATCACAAACTGGTCCTACATTTGCATCCTATTTGCGCTTTGATATCACCATATGTGACTGATTTATGACTGAGCGCTAGAGCCGCGATGGCAGTGAGATCTCACTTCCTCACCCAGAGAGCAAGTGTGATACTGACAGTTGGCTGTGACTCACTACAGAACAAGGATGCAATGTGTCTGTGGAAAAAGTGGCAGTAAAAACAGAAGGTCTCCTTAAAGGGTTGGCAGAGCATTTAACTTGCTAACATCAGGAGCAAGTCTTGATTTCGAATTAAGTGTTCTCTGTGACTAGCAAAGTTCAACAGTCTGTTGCATGTTTGTCTGGTTAGTTTGGCTTCTTGATATTATTGTTATTCAATTGTTGACGCCGTTTATCACTTTTAAGTGTCCCAAGGATGTTCTTAGCTGAAACACTGCACACTGTCTACCAGAAATCTCTCTCTCCTTAAAAAAAAAACATATTCCAGCAGGGATCCCCTAGTTGTTAGAAATAAACATACTTTTTTTCATCTTTTTAAACAAAAAAAAACTCTTATTCATTCAATAGAAATTTATATCTAAGTTGATTATTGTCTTTATCTATGAAAACGGAGGAAAAATATTAAAGATATATAAAAAAAGGTTTTTAAAACACTGCTCATCAACAATTCTTTAAGCCGCAGCTATAAATTTAATAAACTATGTTGCAAAATTGGCATACTTTTTTTTTTTTAGAATATGGATAAACAAGTTTGGTGTCATGGAATTCAACCTGACAGATGCTGTGCATCTTTAGTAATCTAAAAGAACAATATGTAAGAAATTTACTGTAAAATTAACTAAATTAATTGCATTGATCACCTGGAATAGATGTTACATTCCCTATAAACAATCTCTCCCCTACATCGACAATGTAAGTAAGAACTTGAGGTATTACCTTAAGTCATATAACTTTGATGTGGTGCTTTTTTTCTTATTGATTCTTTACTGTTGCTAAATGACATTACATGATGTTCCAAAATAGTAGATATTAGAGATGGCAGCAAGTCCTCTCTGTATTGCTTTGGTCTAGAAAAGTCAAAAAACAAACCACTGAACGTTGTTCAAAACAGCGCTTTGTTTTGGCTTAGAACATAAGTACATGTTTTCTAAGCCAAAACAAGGCGTTGTTATTGGTCCACTCTATAAAGCCTCAAACTATACTATTTCTGACATTTTGAATTGAAAAATCCACCTGGATGGGAAGCGAAACGTCTTCAAACTTGGGAACAAAGTCCAGTGGATTATGTTTTTATTTTTTTGGAATGACTCTGACTTGGATGACTGGAAATCTTCACCAGCTTATTTTGGTTTAGACTTTTTGAATTTAACCATTGGAACTTGAAATGACTTTTCAAATATAAGATGTGCATCTGTACAGTTTTGAACAGCTGAACAATTGTCGTATGCATTTTACAGTAGTACCACACACACCACTAAAGTAATATACCGTTCTCTGCTGGACAGTTTTACTAGGGCTGCAAATAATTATTATTTTGCAAATCGATTAATCCGTTGATAATTTTTGTGATTAATCAATTAATAATCGTTTAGCAAAAGGTTCCTTAAAGAAGATGTTTTACAATATTAAACCAGATAAAATTAAAACTTTTCCCCTTGAGGAGTTTTGGATAGAGCATATTGACAGACAAAAAAAATGTTTTTGATCTTAAATGCAAAGTGTTTATATATTTTTTAAAATTTTGATATAACTACTGCTCTATGTGGGTCGCTCTGTCAGCTAAAAGCATGTTTTACAGTTTCTATACTCCATTTGACAAGTAATCGATTAATAAAATAGTTGACAATTATTTCAATAATCGATTAATCACCATTAATCCTTTCAACCATAATTTTTGTTGTGAAGTTGTGTGTTGATGAAGATTGTGAAGATTTTAGCTTCTTTTGTGTATTACTTACAAATATTTATTAAAATGGCTTTAACTAAAAGGCACAACAAATCGTATCATAACTGCAATTTAAAGAAAAGAAATCAGACAAATGCCCTGATAAATTATTTAACAAATTTAGAGGACAAGATAAATGCATATCTCAGAAATGACACAACAAAATAGCGGTACTTCTTGTAAGAGTTTGAATTTATGTTGTTTTCTCTTGTTACACAAAGCCGTCATCAGCTGCCTACAGGTTTTAGCAACACCAACAATGAAAGCACCAAACTGTTGATTTGATCAACTATTGTTTGCTTGTTTCTTCCATTCAGAGACAAAAAGCTTTGGCATCAGGTGTGTGTCATGTCTATATGCATGTGAAGAAGGCGTTAAGTGAGAAGGACTTGGTACTGAGTATGAGAGGTTGCATTTGGAGAGTGGGAGGGTGTGCGGGGATCACAGATTGTCTGTGAAGCTGTCTGTGGGAGTAAAAAGGGGTCCTGGTGAGATGCAGTTATGAAAGCCAGAAAAAAAGAGCTGCCGCTGTGAGGCTATCGAGCGGCATTCAGAGGCTTGATGCTGCCGTTGACCTTGGCCTCTGTAACTAATGGAAATGGAGGTCAGCGTGTTTGCACTTTCTGGATCTGCACAGCTGCACCCCAGAAGCAGTCTTCATGTTGGGGATTTTTATTCTTTTGTACAGTTTTCATTAAAAAGTGCGAGGACGGTTTTATTTAGGATATTAGTTGTATTTTTTTTTTTACATTGGCTGGTTTCAGTCAGTGTAATTTAATATAAATATTATTTGCTTTTAAATCTTTGAGCAAACTTTTACTTTAGCCTGTGTTCTGTTTTATAATTGAATTGTTCTAATTGGATTTTGACTTGACACCTCTCAGAAAAAAAGAGAAATGAAAGTAAACATTGATCTTTGTCCACATCGATTTCTCTGCACAAGTCACACAGCGTGACTGATTGAGCTTTGGTTTAGAGAAACGCAAGCTCACCAGTATGATGTGGATGTGTTTGGAAGGGATGTATCATGTGTTTCTGTGGCGCCCTCTAGGTTTAAATAGATGTTGCAGCATTGCAATGACCAGAAATCAGTAGTATAACTAAATTTGGAAAAGTTATGTCTGCCATGTTGAGAGTTGTTGATCGGTCTTTAATTTTTAGTTATTTCCATCTGTTTTGTTATTTTCTTAAAATAAGATAGATATAGTCCATACAAGGACTTTTGGTTTACAGAATTCAAAATTGAATTAAAGATTGAAATAACGGCAGCTGTCCCTTTTTTGTATTTTTTATACATGCACTGGCTTTAATGATTTTAATCATGTTATCCTGAATAATATTTTCAAAAAGATTCCTTGCATCTTCTCCAGATTCAGAAATGGCATTAAAAGCATGCCAGAAGACATGCAATTGTTAAATATAACCTGATTTCTGGGTTGTTTAACTGTAATAGTCGCCCATTGATGATGATTAATTGCAACCAAGATTGTAAAACCTTAAACATCAGCAGAAAACAGAGAGCTCAAAACTTTGCCTGTCTGCTATTACTTTAAACAGGATCCAATTTGATTTTTAGTCAAGCAATCGGTTTTCAAATAACAGTGGAGAGTGCACACTGCATGTCATCATTCAGAGAGTCAGTGGATCATTTTCTGTGTTGGAAAGAGGATCCCCTGATGAGGGCAGGGCTATGAACGGGGAGGAAGAGAACAGAAGGGAGTAAGATACAAACACATGAACAGAGACCTTCTTACTCCCATCTCTTTTTTTATTGTAGTTTGTTTTCCCTTACTTTCCTTTCTGTGGTGTGTCTCATCATGAGCTTTAAGCAGAAGCTTCAGCCTGTGAGTACTTGAGCCTTTTTTGGGTTTTATGCTCCCTGCTGTTGTCCGTCATATCTCACGTTCCTCATTCCTAGCTACATACTGTTTGATAGTTACCATTTCCTCTTTGTCCTGTTTTTCTTTGCCGTCTTTTTAACCATCCTAACTTTAACATAATCAATGTTTCAACTTTCTTTAAAAATATATATATTTTCAAAATACTGTAAACAGACCTTGCAGCTCATTCATCTTGTTTCTGGTTTATTTTGACATGATTAAGGGGCAGAATAGATTTTATTTGGTTTGTAGTGTATTAAAAAAACAGGAAAACATCCAGACTAAAGTAAAATAATGTAAGTTACCAAACATCTTAGTGGAGGGTATTTGTAATTATAATTTGTGCCTTTAGAACTGTTGGTTTATCATTAGTTATGTCTGTAAGCTGAAAGCTATTGTGATATAGATTTTATACTTGGCGTTTATTCTGCATTTGCAGATTCATACAATCTACATTTTAGATTGTATATATTTAAGCTTGAAATTATTCAGGCCAAACATATTGTAATAATTACAGCCTGCCTTTGATCTATCCCTCTACTGAACAGAGAGCAGTTGCATGCTAACTTGTTCCCTGGTGTTCATTATGAAATAGGATGATGCTCAACATCAATAACATAAAGTTTTTTGGATGACTGAACTTTTCCTTGCGTGTTTATGTTGTCATCACTGTGCCTGTTTTTGTGTTTAGCCACCGTGGGAGCATTTGTGTTGCATTGAAGGGACTCACCATTTTCCCACTGGATTTGTGTAAAGATTTATGGCGTTGGAGCAAAAGAAAGAATCTATCTCTTAGAATAATAGACTTCTTCAGAGTCCTGATTATTCCCTGTAAGGCCCATACTTTATTTCTCCTCAGTGATTTTTTTTCCTGCCAAATAAGGCCAAGTACATATTTAAAGACCTTTCTGCATGTACTTGGTCCTTGAGAAGCTATTTGCTTTACTATTTCTGGTTGCTGTTTTCTTTTTTACCAGCAGAGAGAAGAGCTCTTTTTTTCCATGAACTGTTTTGCGTTGCAAAACTATTGTTTCATTTGTCACATCTGACAAAGAGTACTAATACATAAAAATGCTGTGAAATTCTATTTTCATTCTATTTAAATAAACAATTTACATCAGACATTGCTTTTAATCCCACTTAAACAGACTTAAAAGAAATAAACCCCATAGACAGAAATGATCATGGACCCATAAAAAGACTGAAAATAATGTGACCAAAGTGGCATTTTAAATAATGGTGTGTCCACTAATTAGCTGGTGAAGATTCTCAGTCATCCAGGTCATAGTCTTTCCAAAAAAGTAAAAACAAAACAATCCGCTGGACTTAATTTCCAAGTTTGAAGACATTTCGCTTCCCATCTGTGTGTCTTTTTTTTACATTAAACACGGTGCA